GGCATCGTGCAGAAGGCGGAGCTCATCATGGAGCAGGGCAGGGAGATCATCAACAGCGTGGAAGGCATCCCGAAGGAGCGCCAGCTGGAGCTGATCGCCCGCCACGACATTCGCATCGTGAACTGGCTCTTGAAGAAGGGGAAGCAGTCCAAGGACTACTCGCGCCAACCAAAAAGCACCACCTCCTCCCCCTCATCCATCTCCTCCTCGTCCCCCTCCTCTTCCTCCGCATCCTCCGCTTCCTATTCCTCTCCCGCCTCATCCTTTATTTCAAAAAAGCCGGCTTCAAGCCACCAACTCTTTCGAGTGCCCATCCTCCTCCTCCGCATTATTCTTATCCTCCTCCCTCGTCCTCATCCTCCCCCTCCTCCTCCTCATCCTCCCCCTCATCCCCCTCGTCCTCATCATCATATTCCACGGTTCATCCGCCCCACCCCCCCAGTCACCTCGCCCTTCCCCAGCCCTGCTTGCTTCAGCAGTCTATCTTGCACTGCGCCCACCCCCGCAGGAAGCGATCGACTACGAGACCCTCGAGAGTGGAGCCCAGGTCCTGATAGACGCAATCAAGGCCACGACGAACGTGGAGATTTCGAACCCCTGGGCACCGTCCCGCCGCATCGTGAAGAAAGCCTGTCCGAAGGTCTCGGACTCTGCGACCTACGCCACCACAGTCCTCTCAGACCCCCTCTTCTCGACTTCTCCGCCTCCTTAGCCAGCCAACTCTCGTTCCAGACCACCACCACTAATCTATCCACCACCCACCACACCACCGCCCACCCACAAGTTCCGCCCTCCGAGCACCCCTTCTGCCCCGTCAAGCACTACCTCACACCTCACCATACGCCATCAACAGCAAGAATCCTTCGTGGCTCTCCTCAGAGACACGAATTCACCTAACCCCCCCCCTCACTCTTCCTACACACCTCCCATTCGCCCCCACCTCCCCACCCACCCTCCTCCCACCCACTCCCCACTCCTCCCCATCTTGTCTACTTGTCCTACCCCTCCTCCTTCTGCTCCTCCTCGTCCTCCTCCTCCTCATCCTCCTCACCCTCACCCGCCACTCCTCCTGCTCCTCCTGCTGCTCCTCCTCCTCCTCCTCCGTGACCTCATCTTCCTGCTTCGAACTCCTGCCGTGCGTCGTTCCGCCCCTCCACCTCCATTTTGGCAATCCCAGGTTGTTGCGGCGCCAGTGCCTGCGGCACTCGACGACGCTAGCGCTGGCAGTGCTGGGCAGAGCGTCGTCACAGCCATGGCGTCCATGCAGGACATGACTAGCAAGCGCTACCACATGGGTAAGGCTGGGTACGTCGTCGGGGCAATGGTGAAGCTGAGGAAGGACGTTCAGGACACGTGCCCGCTGTGGCGGATCGCCAGCATCTCCGAGGAGACGGCAACGTTAGAGCCTACGGGGTGTTGGGCCTCCGACGTGAAGTCCGTCAACCTTGACGACTTCAAGAAGGAGTGGGCCGTGACGAACCAGAAGCCGCAGCGGGAGGTGTCCTTCCACTGCGACTTACCAGAGAACCACGACCAGTGGAAAATAGAGTGGATCAAGTCCCACACCAACGTCAGCTTGAACCGCTTGAGTGACCTAGCGTTCCATGAGCAGACGCACACTGGCATTCGGATCTTCACGAACCCCTGGTGCGTGCAAGTGACGAAGCCATTCGAGAAGGATATGCTGATGCTTCCGCCTGCCAGCATGAACATGAAGTACAGGACCGACGGCGACGAGCTGCCAGATAAGCACGTCGACGTGGGGATCGAGCTCAAGCTTCGGGCCAAGCTCGTCAGGTTCAGCATTGGGCCGCACTTGTCAACTGGCAAGGACGACGCTGACAAGAACTTCGTTGCACCATTTTGGTGTGTGCCATCTACGTCTGAACAGAGCAAGGCGACAATGCATTTCGAAAAGGCATCGTTCCAGATCACAGCGTTCGGCAGCACGCAGGGCGACCACGGCAATATCTAGGATGAGTTCTCCATTGAGATCCCGATCCTTGTGAACAAGGTGAAGCTCGCGCCTGGAGACTTCCTGCTGTACGCCCAGGGGTCTGAGAAGGCGCCCGCCGCCGTGCACGGTGGGAAGCCTGCGCCCGCCACGAAGCGCGCTCGCAAGTGAGTGCAGCAGGCGCTGTCGTGAGCAGCGCGCTCGTTTTCTCCTCTCCTCACTCTTCATGTCTACCACTACCATGCTATCATAGTTCCCTGTCCTTCCTACTTCACATTTCGGTACAGTCATCCTCTCTCCTTCGACGCTGGCCAATTTCGCCTGTTGTCTTTAAGCACCGTGCTGTGTGTCTGTATATTGCTCGTTGCAGAATAAGCGTTTGCGTGACAGAAGCCTCGGCGAGAGGCGTTGAATCTTCTGGCCCCGATTGGGCTAGCGACAGGCAGCATGTTCTCAATCCTCATCTGTCATCCTTCCTCATCCTCCTCATCCTCATCCCAATCCTTATCCTTCTCATCCTCCTCCTCCTCATCATCATCCTTATCCTCCTCCTACTCCTCCTCCTCAGCCTCCTCCTCATCCTTCTTCCCTCCCCCCCATGGGCGCGATAGGATGAGTAGGATGAGGAGGGGCAGGAGGAGCAGGAGGAGGAGCAGGAGGAGGAGGAGAAGGATGAGGAGGGTCGGAGCGTTTGACGGATGTCGGCAACGACGACGGCTGCGCTTCCCTCCGCACCGCGCCGCCCCCGCGGCCACCTCGTCAACGAGTGCCAGGCGCCACCCGCTCCCGCTGCGAGAGAGACGGGTTGGAAGATGAGGGGGAGGAGGAGGGGATGGGGAGGAGGATGAGGATGACATGGACACAGCAGGTGACGCGGTAGATTACGCTGGCCCTCTCGCAACCATGGCGCACCTCTTACTTGGGCTGGGGGCGCGGTGAGGAGAAGAATGATTATGGAGCATAAGGAGAAGGAAGAGGAGGAGGAGGAGGAGGAGGAGGAGAAGAAGAAAGAGGTGGAGGAGGACTCGAAAGAGCTGGTGACTTGAATCCGGTTTTTTTCTAAAAAAAAACACTCAGAGGAAGAGGAACGCAGAACCGCACAACACACGTGTAAAATGATCATGTGTTCACAAGAGAAAGCACTGGGTGGATCTCGGACGCAATCGTCAACACATTCGCACAGCGTGCAAACTACATCGTGGGCGAAGCACGCACGCACACACACGCGCACACACACACATCGCACATGCAATCAACACAGTATTCAACGTGCCAGAGGTGTTTTACATGTGAAAGTCACCATGTCCACCATAGCCATTCTGGTTTAAGCTTTCTCGCGCGTTGCTCCTGTCACTTGTAAATCTTGCGTCGGTTCAGCTCCACGCGTCAGGGCGTCGGCATGGCTGACGCGAAGCAGCTGGATCTGTGCCCGATCACCACCGAGAGGACGCTCACAATTTCAAGGGCCTGCTCGCAGTATCAGGCGTGGCACGGCGCGGAGGTCATCTCCATTGGCCGTGATGATTACATCAAGTTCAAAAAGGGTGACAAGCAGATGCAGCAATGGCTCATCAACGCTCGCACATACAGCACCCAGTGCAGTCAGGTGGTGCAGCTTCTAGAGTCGATCCAGAAGAACGCCAGCAAACAAGAGTTAGGTCACGATGCTGATGAGGAGCGCGTCGAAAAATCTGTCTACCGTCACAGGCTCGACGCTCGGGCCTTGAAGGCGCTCTCTGAGGGTACTAGGAGCTCGGTCGTAACTGCGACGTTGCCTAGCTTCACCTACAATGGCATCACCGTGGGCGATGTTCATACTACGATGCCTCTCAACTTGAATCCGTCGTTCGCGAGCTTGCCGCCTACCCCCGAGAACCTGCAGTGGGTGTTTCTCAAGTGCCAGTCGCTCGGCAAGCAGGTCAAGCGCAATCGCGGGGGGCCGACTGATGACGACGGGAGCAATTCAAAGGTTGCCCGTTCTTCTGGCCTCGAGGGTTCTTCTAGCAGCGGGGGGGCAACACATAGGGCTCCCGCGTAGGCGCTTCGCATAGCATTTGCATTCTACAGTGCAGCTGTTGTTGCATCTAGAATGTGCATCGTTGCTCTTTCTTGTGGGTTTCGAAGGGGCACGCGCCGTTCGAATTTGATTGCGTAAGGGGTCAGACCTAAACGCGATATCATCATCGCCAACATGACATCAGCACTTGCATCATCACCCATGTAGGACACAAAGCCATTGAGATCACCGTGCGCCACGTGCACATCACTAGGAACGCACGGTCGCACTCTCTCGCACCAGACGCAGCTGACGCACGCAGGGTAGACACAGAGAGCCTCGCCCCAAGGGGGGCGGTCGAGGGGGGTGGAGGGTTGGAGAGCGGTTGCAATCTAAGAGAACGAAAATACAAGACGTAGAAATCCTACATATAGCGATGGTGGCGTGACGTGTGCGCTGGAAGGTGTTTCGACCACACTTTCTAATATTAGAAATTGGGGTCGGCTGCGGTCGACCTGGCTTTTCAATCCGAGATTCGGCGGCCGACCGCCCTTTTCAATATGAGAAATCTGGGTCGACTGCCGTCGACCGCGCTTTCCCTCTGGCACCCCCCTAACGTTCTGTTCTCAATGTGAACACCTTCCCACACCTAATACCAAGAAGCGCCAGCTTAAAAACGCAGCCTCCGAGACAGCCAGATCATGTCGTCCATCAGAGCAGGGCCTCAACGTCGGTGTTCTATCATACGGGCACGCGGGGGGGCCCTTCACACCGCTGATCCTCCCTCCTTGAAGGCTGGGAGAGGGGCGGAGTGGAGGGCCGTCGCGCTGCCTTTATGGTCGACTCCTGACGTCGGTGTCTGCAACTGATCCCCCCCCCCCCTCGTTCCTGCACTCCTCCTCCCCCTCCGTTCATATATAGCCGTTTTGGCCCGGCATTGCAAAGTCGAGCTTGCACGCCCAACGTTCCCAGCTCAGCCACCTCTTTGTCAGAAAGGCATCCCCAGTGCTGTTGATGGCAGAGATCAGGGGCAGCTCAGACGTCACCAAGGCCAAACGCGACATGCTTGCAGACACCGATGGAGCTGCCGATCACCTGGACAGGGTCAAGTCGAGCCTCGCTGGCTCATTGGTGGGCATGGTGCACTCCATCAACCTGCCGATCACGTCCTCCCAGGTGTCTGAGCTGATGCGCGAGCTGAACACTAGTGAGTTCGACAAGCAGCAGAGAGCCGAGATCTGTAACGCCCTGGGGGCCAAGCTTGTTCACTCGAGGGTGGAACCAGCTCTCGGGCCGACTGAGTGCCAGAAGTTCACAGACAAGAACAGCATCATGAACTACTTGACTGCAAAAGATTGGCTTGCCCTGTCCGACAAGAGTGTTCCGTTCTCGGACGCGTCGAAGCGCAAGATCATTATCGACCGTCTGTCCAGGGGCGGCTTCTACAAACCTGCAATCCCAGCCGCTGAAGATTGCGCAGCTGCCGTGGCGAGTGCTGTCTGGGATGGCTCGATTTCAGCTGTCGACTTGCACAACGCGACGCATTCATTCATGTCGGAGTTCAGGGACCAGCGCAGCAAGTCATGCGACCTGCCAGTGATCAGGCAGTGGCCACCATCGCCAGATGCTCTTCCCGTTGCAACGCGGCAGGCGCTCTACCCCGAGGCAGACGATCAGCCACTGCAGATGGCGGTGGACACGTTTGTGGTTGTGCGCAAGCTGACGTCGTGCAGGGACGTGAACAAGAATGTCCGCGGCGAGCTCAAGCAGCCTGCCACGGCGTTGGTGTCCGCGTCGAGGCGTGCTCCACCAGCATGCGCTGGAGGTGCTCCACAGCTGCCTGGTATGCCGCTGGACGTCGCTGGGTTTCTGTCAGCCGCGGGCGCATGCGGCATCTCCCAGGAGCAGGCCCTGTTGCTGGGATCGCAGATGCTGAGGGGGGGGGGGCAGCTCGGCTCAGGGAGGCCGGCGAGAAGCAACTCCAGCGTGTTCGTCGAGGAGTTCGATTGCGAGCAGCCGCCGTCGCTGGCATCGCAGTTGGCCCAGGTGCAGCAGAGGCATCATGGCCTTGCTCTGCGCACGCCGCGTGCGCATCAACATGGCAGCCAAGGATCGAGCAACAGCGGCATTGTTTCTGTTGCTGCTTCTCCTGCGGTTGATGCCGACACCCCTCCGCCCATCGAGGAGATGCAGCTCGCTCCGCAACGCGTGGCGATTGCGGCGGCGGCGCCCACTCCGTGCAGCATGGTCGTGCCAGTCTCTCCAGTTGCCCCAGCTTTGGCGAGTGCTGCGAGCGCATCTGCAGCCGCTCTCGCTGACTTCGGCGTCGCGAGGAGCAAGGTGGTCGTCCCTGAGCCTATCTGCGCAGACGGCCTCACAGAGTTGGACAACATCAAGGCCATGGAGAGGGAGCACGAGGCCCTCGTCGAGAAGGCGAAGCAGAAGAAGCTCGACGCCGCGACTGAGCCGTCGGGCGCTGACCTCGAGAGCCCGTCCGCGTCCAAGGGGCCGAAGGGCATGCCGAAGAAGATCGGTACTACGCCGACGCCCGCTCGTAAGAGGCCAGCTGCAGCTCCGACCACCGCCCCCCCACACGGCCAAGAAGGCCAAGCTTGGCCATCACATTCCGAAGCCCAGTGCGATGCCCAAGCCACCGTCTCCAGGCGAATCAGTGTGCTACCGCGGTGGCAAGATCCTCGCCAGCGAGAGCAAAGGTGGCTGGCGCGTATGGCCAATCAAGGAGGTCGTAGGCAAAGAGAAAACAGTAGTTTTCGGCAAAAGCAAGGCTGCGTCGTTCAGCGTAGCCATCGGACTGATCGACGCTGCACTCGATCAGTAGGCCTGTGCTGTCAAATCGTTGGTACAGAATTCGGTGATTCGTGTGTGCTCAAGTTTTGTGCAGATGCCATTCACAGCATCGTTCAACGTATGTAGTTAACGCACACAGCGCATCTATGATGCAAGATCTTGGGGTGCCCTTTTCTTCACACAGTCGGCGTGCCACGCTGCCACCGTGGGATGGTGATCAGCGTGGCTGTGACGCGTCGACTGTTCTTGATCGCCAGGGCGACTAGCAGTATGCATAGCAGAGAATAGCATCGTCACGGATATCAGCATAAATCATCATCACCACTCCCTCCTCCACAGCCACCGCGTGCCTCTGAGGATCCAAGGGGGCCCAACGTTAGTAGATCAACCAAGTCTGATGGTGTTCTGGATCTTCGGGCGGCGTCTGCTTCAGAATACCGAGAAAAAGCTCTGGACACCAAATACAAACACGTGCAAAAGAGCGCAGCGCTGCAATACAAAAAGCCGGCTTTTTGTCATTGATTTGATTGCAATCAGACCTAAACCCTAGAGTATTGGACATGTATGCGGATATGTGAGGAGGGATAAGATGATGCGAGGAAGCGTGGAGAAATATGAAGAGGGAAATGGTGATGAGGAAGAAGAGGAGGAGGGGGAGGAGGAGGATAGGGAGGACGAGGAGGAGGAGGAGGAGGAGGACGATGTAGCCTATGACAGTCCAACGAGACCCATCGGGCGAGTCCGACAATGAATCCCTTTCCGTCTGCTGCTCTGACCGCTCTCTCTCTCTCTCTCTCTCTCTCTCTCTCTCTCTCTCTCTCTCTATTTGTCTCTCTCTCTCTCTCTCTCTTTCTATTTCGAGCACGGTGCCACCCCTTCCCTTCGATGCTACATCGCCCAATGCATCCTGCAGGACAATGCCAACCGCCATCGTCACTTGCTGCCGTTTTCGCCCGTAGTTGTTGGCCCAATGTCTTCCAGGGAAGCTAAGTTGAGGAAGCTCGACTGCTCTCGGAATCAATTGCCCCATACCTCCCAGAGAGCCCTAGCTGCGTTTCTTCGAGCTGCCCGAGATGGCGACTTACCTAGTGCTTCAAGCACGAAGGACCTGAGAGCTGCCAGGAAATTAGTGACTGACCTGGACACACCGCACGGCAAGCTTCTGGACGAGGCCACGGGGAGCAACGCGCGTACCCTAGATGCTCGAGCAACATCGCAGCCATAATAACTATTCAGTTTTCTCCTCACTCCTGCCTCTTCCTCCTTCTCCTCCTCCTCCCCATGTCCCTCCTCCTCCTCCTCCTCATCTCCATTCTCCTCCTCATCACCAGGAAGTGCCCTGCCATAGACGCCCACAGACCTGACGGACCGTCCCCTGAACCCCTTCAGAAACCAATAAAGGTTGTGGCTGGCGTTGTTGCTCGTTCGTCTACGGGTGGGCACGGCACCTCGCGAGGTTCTTCTGATAAAAGAATCTGGAGAACCGTTCCTGGTGACGATTGCAAGCCCTGTGCCGTTCTTGTGGGCCGCTGCCAAGAAGCTGTATTTTTCAACTTTGTTGAGACAGACGTTTGCGCGCAAGCCCAGTACGGTCAGCGAGCCTTGGTCTCTCATTATATATAATGACGAGTGCAAGCCAGGCAACCGTATGAAGGCCCACAACCACAGGGCCATGCAGGCCGTCTACATCAGTGTTATGGAATTTCTAGCTTGCAACCTTTCTAAAGAGGATTTCTGGCTTCCAATATCTTCGGCGCTTTCAGATGATGTGGCTGGTTGTGAAGCTGGCGTTGCACAACTGTTGAGGGAGAGTTTGAGAAAGCTGCTAAGCACTAAACACGACGTGCGATACAGTGGGATCAGTTTTGAATTGGGTGACGGCTCGACCATGAAAATATGGTTTTCAGTTGATGTGTTGCTGGCGGATGAGAGCGCGCTTCATCAGATTTGGCAATCCAAAGGGAGCGGTGGAACTAAAGCGTGTCTGCTATGCAAAAACTGTGTAAACAAATCGTGGGTTGCGGCAGGCGAGTTGGACGGTTCGTCATACTTTCAGCTGTACACAGAAATCGTCAGTTTGAAGCAGTGCGACTTGGCAAACAAAGCATACATATTAACAATTCTTGACGAGCTGCATAAATCTAGGCCGCCCGCAATGACAAAAGGCAGGTGGGAGGAGCGTCAGCGACGGTTGGGCTGGAACGATACAGACTTCAATTTGATGCGATGTCCGTTGCTGTCGTCCGCGCTAGATCCCACTAGCATGACATGTTTTGACTGGAGCCACAACGTGTTGCAAGGCTGTGTTCAAACGACCGTGTATTGCGCGATGCATGCAATAAAAGACAGCGGCCTCAGAGCCAACCACGTGTACGAGTTTTTGAAAACATGGACATGGCCAAGACGGTTGGGTAGCAAAGGATCGTTTGTGGAAGTTTTTGGGCCCAAGAGGGCCGCTGCAAATTGGGATGCCCAATCCTGGAAATGCACACAGAGCGAGGCGCTAAGCATTCACGCTCCATTGGCCCATTGGTTTCGTGAGGTAGTTTACCCTCGGGGGATTTACGACGATGTTTGCGAGGCGATTTTTTCTATGAGTGTAATGATTCACATATTGTGGCATCATCCGAAACTGGGGCTTTCTAGTGATGTTGTGCTTTCTGCGTGTGAGAAATACGTTGACTGTTTCAAGCGAGCGTTTGGGCCAGAATGGATGATGTGGAAGCATCATGCGTTGCTTCACCACGCAGGCTCGGTGAAGCGGTTTGGATTTACTCCCAACACCCTTGCGTTGGAGAGGAAACACAAACAGCTTCTCAAGTGGGGTGAGGATCACCAGCACGACTGCCGAGGCGTAATCAGAGATATAGTTTCGCAAGCTCTCCATAATTTAGAACACGCGCCGTGGCTAGACATGTCTCTTGGTCTCACTGCGCCTAGGAAGCCTCCCAAAAAAAAAAATGAACGCATATTTGCAAGAACACTGCGGTGCAGCAGTGTACGAGGTGTCAGGCAAAGCTCGTTTCTTCCGAGCACGACGTCTGTTGGGAAAGCGACGTCGTTGCCGTGCGGACAGACCGCGGCTGGCGCGTGGCTCGCGTGCTGTTTCTGGCGAAGGCCAGGGGAATAGTCTTCGCAGCAGTGCAGCCTTACAAGTGCATGGCCATGTCAAAGTGGCATAGCACTTGGACGCGAGACGGCCTGCCTGAGCTAGAGGATGTTTTTGCGTTCCTGGAGGTTCTCGTTTACAGGGGTGGCGCAGATGAGATTCAGGTGTTGCACACTGTTTTACTCGTTCAGTAACCTCGAATTCGAATGCCGTTTTTGCAAAACAGACAAAAACAATGCAAGAGTCCAGGAAAAAGAGCTGGATCTGATAGTGAACTGTTCTCGCGAAAGGTCCGCTGGTTTACTAATTATGATTCGGGCATTGGTTTTTCTGTGAGATGTAGCTTTGGTTTTCCTTGGGGGAGGCGTGCGCGCCGTTGAGTTTTCCTTCAGCAATCCAAGGGTTCAGGTTAGATGATGTTGATTTTTCCAGGCCAACACTGGCTTGCTAAACCTTTAGCTGGGGACCGCTAAACCCTTTAGCGCCGTGGGCTAAACGTTTAGCTAAGAGGGTTAGCAAACGATTAGGGCGAGCGGCTAAACAGTTAGCAAACGTGTTAGCAAACGTTGCTAAACAGAGTTGCCAACCGATTGCAAGCCGTAGGTATCCCTCCCAAACGTTGCAAACGAATACTATCGTTGCTAAACCAACCACCCCTCCAAGTAGGGGGGAGGAGTCAAGCTACCCGCCCGCTCGCAAGCCGTCTAGCTGACTCCCACCCACCCTCCCAGCACATGAGTAACACCCAAGCTTGAGCAGTTTCGGCTCGCGAGGTGCCGCCCCTGCGGGAGCCTGCCAGCGCAGGCGAGGGGCCCCCCCGCGCGCGCCGAGACCAGCGCTCGGTCACGGCGCCTCCCCGTGAGGACGCCGCTCATCATCGAGCGCGACTTCGCCGTGCGGCGGATCGCGCCCTCCTGCACGCCTGGGCGGGGCGCAGCTCGCCCCGTTTGCTCGAGCAGCTGGAAGGCGCCGCCCGACGGTTACGAGGACACCACGGGCCGTCACCTGGCAGGATGGCGCCGCCCCCTTCACCGCAGCCAAGGATCCTCCGCGGCCCCAAGAAGCCGCACTGGGGTTGCCCATCGTGCGGGTGCAGCACGAACTGGGCGTCGAGGATCGTCTGCCAGTGCGGCAAGCATGCGCCGTAGCACGTGCAGGTCAAGGCGCGGAAGGCGGACAAGGAGGCAGCTGCTGCAGCCAAGTCGCCAGCACAGCGTGCTGGAGGAGCTGGACTGCATAATCCCAAGGTGGCACCGTGAAACAAAGGATCTCAAGAAGATGGAACAAGAGCTCAAGGAGACGGGGGCGCTGCTGGCTGCCACCCGCAAGGCCAACATCTCTCAGGCTCCTTCAGATTACGACATGGAAATCGTCGGTGCCGCTGAGCCCTCGAAGGACGATAACTTTATCAAGCGCACTGCTTTCCAGGAGAAGATCAACATCCACGAGCGCACGCTCAAGGACCTCAGCTCGCTCGGCCAGGAGGACGGCGAGATGGCCAAGCTCGCCAGGGCGGAGTTGGACAAGCTCCGCGAGAAGGTCAAGCAGCTGCAGATGCAGAGCGACACCAACGCCAAGAAGGCTGCGGTTGAGGCCAAGGAGGCTGAGACTGTGGC